GACCCCGTTTCCAAATATGGCCACACTCTGAAGTATGGGGGTTAGGACTTGTACATAAGAACTGGGGAGGGATACATTTCAGCCCATGACCCGGAATGTAACATAGTTCACTCATTTTCATAAGCATGATTTTCAGTCCTGCAAAGCATGAGGACAGCATGAAATATTGATCCAATCTCCCGAGGATCGGCACTTGACTGGGGCCATTACAGATAATGCTGCTTTGAACATTCTTTTGCCTGTAACTTGGTGCGCATGTACATGAGTTTCTGCAGGCTTTACAGCTAGCAATGGAACAACGGAGTCATAGAGGAAAGTTTGTCTTCAGCTTTAGAAGCTATGCAAACAGTTTTCCAAAGTGGTTGCACCAGTTTCTCCTCGATCCAGCCCCAGACTCTCCCATCTTCATCGCTCTACTTCCTCAGCCACACTTGGTATCCTCAGACTTGTCTGCGTTAACTGGGCGGTGGTCTATTTTGCATTTCCCTGATGACTAGGGGGATTGCGTATGCTTCTGCATGGGGCATCTGAAGCTCCCATTTTGTGAAATGCCCATCCAAGTTTTACTGGTTTTAACTTATCTTTTTAATCTCTTAATCTCTTCACTTTCTACGACGCTCATGGCAATTTTATTTTAAAGGCACAGTTACCACTTTCTTGCCACTGGACTTTGGTTCGTCCTATCTGAGTCACCCCACAAATTTGTAATAACTTGACTCTAGGAGAGCAAGGCTGGGAACTTCATCCCTTCCTTCTCAGAAGTCTCTGGGCTCTTCATGCAAACATTCCCACTCTCCCCTCCAACTTCCCCCCTCCACCTGTGGACAGAGCTTCACCCCCAATTGCAGGTTCTCTTCCTACTTGATCTGTTGCTCTGCTGTGCACACAAGGTTATGATAATTGAATGAGATGATGTGCAGATGTCCAACATGGTCCCTGGAATCCTGCATGCTCTTAGAAAATGTTACTTCCTTTCCCTCTTCTTGATGCTTTGCAGGAAAGGAAGTAGAGTAACAATTACTGACTGCTACCTGAGTGCCGAGAGGTATGCCAAGGACCACTCACTGCCCGTTCATTATCATTCTCTTCTTTCTTAGTTACAAATCTTATTTAGGGCAGTAATATGCATCCTTTGCTTTTCCTGCCTTTCTCTTTCCTGATGCCTGGAACTTGGAGCTCCAGCAGCCATTTTGGACCATGAGTTGTTGCCCTAAATGGTAAAAGAGCCAGCTCTGGAGCCATCCAAACAGACCTTGAAAGACAACTTGTCTCATGCGACAGAGAAATTAACCTCTGTCACCTTAAAGCAATAGTGATTTGGTTTTCTATTATATGAGGCAGAACCTAAGTCTGATACTTAGGAAAAGCACATTTTTTTTTTTTTGCTTGAGCTAAATTTTCCTGCTTAAAATTATTTTTGCTGGTAAGTAAATGATAGTATCTTTAAGTCTCTCCACTCAAATTTATATTTTTCAAACAGCCCATTGGGTCAGTATTTTCACACTGATATGAGTAATTGAGACATGGCATCTCAAATAGCCAAGAAATTAGTATTCCCTATGTTAAAAAGTATTCCTTACTCTTTAAAAGAAGTTGTCTTGGGGCACCTGGGTGGCTTAGCTGGTTAAGTGTCTGCCTTCTGCTCAGGTTATGATCCCGGGGTCCTGGGATTGAGCCCCGTGGTGGGTTCCCTGCTCAGCAGGGAGCCTGCTTCTCCCTCTCCCTCTGCTCCCCTGCTGCTGCGCTCTTGATTGCTCTCTCTCTACCTCAAATAAATAAATACAATCTTAAAAAAAATAGGAAGTGGTGTACACATGCGTATGCACACCCATACACACACACTAATGAGGCAGCCATGTGTGATGTAAGGGTGAACACTATGGATTCTGATTGTAAGGCCTTGGATGATTCACTTGATCTTTCTGAGCCCGTTTCCTCATCTGAGCATGGAGGCCTATAACACGCCTGTATTATAGGCCATTTTGAGGACAAAATGAGAGAAATGGATATAAAATGCCCACCAGAAACGAAGCGCTCAGTAAATGGTAAAGAAGGTGGGTGTGTTTTAATTTTTTTTTTAAGATTTTATTTATTTATTTATTTATTTGACACAGAGAGAGAGACAGCAAGGGAGGGAACGCAAGGGGAGTGGCAGGCAGAGGCAGAGGGAGAAGCAGGCTCCCCACAGTGAGCAGGGAGCCCGATACGGGGCTCGATCCCAGGACTCTGGGATCATGACCTGAGCCCAAGGCAGACACTTAACCATCTGAGCCACCCAGACACCCCGTGTTTTAATTTTTTGACAATAGGCTAATTTGGGGCAAAGAAGACTGATCTGTCCCTTAGGCAGAAGACCTTACTCCTTACTCCAGTCACTTGAGTCACCCTCCAGCCAGGCTCGCGGGGGAGAGGCCACCGACGCCCTGACCCCGAGGCCCTGGCCTGGGGTGGGTGCTGGGGGCCCCCCACCTCCCCAAAGGCAGCAACATTCGGCAGCAGTGAAGCCCGGAAGAGCTGGGTGTAAGTACAGACTCAGTTTCAGTTTTTATTTAAAGATCCTAATTTCTGGACGTTTATTTGGGGGATTACAGTGGTGGCTTAAGCTCCTTTAAGACATTCTAAGTTGAAGTCTTTCCCTCACTTGGCTGCTGAAGTTTAATTCAGTCTAATTATTTCATATGGCACCGACTATAATAGTTTCATAATTTCTAGTATATTAAGCACTTAATATGTTGTGTCATTTGAAATCACATATTAAATTCAGCAAAGCACATTTTAATGAGAGTTAAGTGGTGTGAAAATATTAATACAATGTGATGGTTCATCTTGGTGCTCATACTTTGTAGGTCTGTTCCCGATGCACAGATGCCTCGCTCACCAGGTAAGGGAAGCATTTAACTACCTGAGGCTGGGATGGGTGTCTGGCGAGACAGCAGTCATACCTTTTGCCATCTAGCACTTTACAGTGGGATTTCCCGTTGGGCCTCAAGACCCTATAAAGCAAGTAGGGAAATCCTTACTTCCATCTTGAGAGGAGGAAACCGAGGCTCACTGCTGGCCCTCGTCAGTATGGCCCTTCTTGGCTCAGAGAAGGTACACCTCCCTGTGCTGTCAGTATGACTTGGGCTGGGGCAGGGGGGTGGGGGGTGGGGTGGGGTCTGGACTCAAGGGAGGGCAGCCAGCATCCGGAGGACTTGTGACTTCTCCTCCCATCTGCAACCCCACATAGAGAAACTGACAGAACCAGGAAGTTGGCAGCCTTCATACTTGGACTTGGAGATTCTTCTTGCACCCTCTCTCCTAGTGTCCCTTCCACACCCTCAACCTAAGCACCCTGTGATCTTAGGCTACCCTGGGAATGCCAGAGAAGAGGGTCTTGAACTAAATCACAATGAACCCTTCAGACAGCAACAGCTCAGAATAAGGATGCTTCAAAGGCAGGAGTTAAGGCACAGAGAGAGAGAGCCTCCCAGAGCCTCCAATGGGACTCCTTTATTCCATCTGGGTGCTAAGTTAGCCCTTGGAGCCAGAGAGATTTGGGAGCAAATTCCAGTGTCACTGACTCGCTGTGACACTTTCCTCTCCAGGCCTAGGTTTTCCCCATCAGCAAAAGAGGAGCAACACTCCCTTGTGCTTATCTCTGCGACATGAGAAGGAAACAGAACATCAGAAGAAAGGGCAAGGGTTCACGCTAAGCTGAGTGAACAGGAGTGAGTGAGTCAACATGCTGTTTCCCCTCCCAGAGACACAGCTGCAACCAGGGCTTGCTACTATCAGACCCAAAGCACTGAAGCCCTCTGAGTGAAAACAGTCCTCATCACAGCTGAGAAAAGGAGGCGTGGGGGAGAAAACGAAGAAAAGGAGCACTACGACAAAAATGTTACTGTAGCAAAGAAACAGTCCCTGCAGTAGCTTTAAAAAGAGAAGCTATTTTCACTTTTTAAAAGGTTTGATTTATCCAGACAGTTACAAAATTAAGGAAAGAAGACCAAAGAAGAGTAAGGAAGTGGTTATACACTGGATATTTTTTTTTTTTAAGATTTCTTTATTGGGGCGCCTGGGTGGCTCAGTCATTAAGCGTCTGCCTTTGGCTCAGGTCATGATTCCAGGTTCTGGGATCGAGCCCCACATCAGGCTCCTTGCTCCACGGGAAGCCTGCACTCCCTCTCCCACTCCCCCTGCTTGTGTTCCTTCTCTCACTGTGTCTCTGTCAAATAAATAAATAAAATCTTAAAAAAAAAATAAAGATTTCTTTATTTTAGAAAGAGAGAGCACAAGCAGGAGGGGCAGAGGGAGAGGGACAGAGAATCTCAAGCAGACTCCGTGCTGAGTGCAGATATCGACCCCACGACCCGAGACCACGACCCCAGCTGGAACCAAGAGTCAGATGCTTAACCGACTATGCCACCCAAGCGGCCCTACACTGAGTATTTGCATACCGACCGTGAACTTCCCACATACCCAGGGCCTATTCCAAACACTGCCCATGAAGCTACTCCTCTAAGGTGCTCAGGCCATTCACATCAGCCCTGCCGTTGCTGTTCAAACAGCCCTGCTAGGCTCACAGCAGAGTCACCATCCTACAGGTGGGGAAATAGCCAGATATTTACAAAGCTCCAGGCGCCAAAAAAGAGATCTGGGGGAGAGTGAAAAGTGTGTCCTGGGCTGTGGTCCCCCCACTCCCTCCAAATGCAAGCTGGGAAGGGGCAGGATTCCAGGGCAGCACTGAGGTCAGGCATCTGGGATGGATTAGAGCTGCTCTGACCACAGCAGGGGCCAAGCCAGAAGAGCAAGGGCTCCCAGCACACAGGGATTAGGAGGCTTGGAAGGAGAAACTCCCTCTGGCCACAGCTGACCCTGCCTTTTCCCTGAGGCCACCCTCTGAGCTGTCAGCAAACACAGATCTTCTTATACCTGTCCCCCACCCCCACCCCAGCCCTGGCTTTCTTTATTGGGAGGCAAAGAAGGAAATATGAAAAAACTCATTTACACTGGAGTGATTAGGTGGGAGAGCATACTTCAAAAGAGATCTTCCAAGAACAAGGTTTAAGTCAGAGCAGGCATTGCTCAAAGGGATTTCTAGGGCCTGAGGGGTGGATCCTTCTCCACACTCAGACCCCCTGCAGCCCCATTCTGTGTCTGGGGCCTTAGAAGCTTCTGGGCCAGGCCTGTGAACTCAGCACTTCCCTGCCCTACAATTCTGGGTAACACCTGGATGCCACCAACGCCCATTTGTCCCCAGGGTCCCCAGCACAGAGGAGGCCACGGCTTCTTCTCCACATCCCTGCTTCTTCCTCCCTCTGGTGGGGTTGATGCGAATCCCTGGCTCTTCTTATTTCAAATGAATGACATATGGAAACACTCAATGCTCCCAGACTTCAGGGAAATACTATAATAATGTTAGAGAATCCTAAGATCTCATGTCTTCACCAATATGTTTTCAATATGAAACAGCCCATTTCTTCATTGATCAAAATTTAAAGTTGGCTCTGATCTCTCCCACTCGGAGTGGTGTGAAGCTCCACCTGACAGGTTTGGGGGAACCACTCTGCATCTCTTGAGGTCCTGCAGCGTAGGACATTCAGGGAAGACTGTCGGGACTCAGGCCACCTCAGGTCTCGGAGTAGAGGGAAGACAACAGCTCTGAGAACTAGCAGGAACTGGCTTCCCCTGAAGCTCTGAGACCACCAACCCATGCAGACACATACTTGTTGCCTTTTAGTGTCCATCCCCTTGGGGTCTCTGGGGGCAGGATCCCCTTGCTTCTCTCCACACTGAGTCCCTCCATCCATCTGTCCTCCAGCTTCATGTCACATCCAATCCATCTCTGCCCCTCTCATCCCCACCCTCACGCTTCCTCCACACTGGGCCTTCAGGATTCAGGGATGAGTGCTGCAGGGTTCCGCCGGTCCCAGACCCTCGGTCCGCGGCAGCCCCTGTGGGCTGTTCTCGGGGTCTTCCATGACCCAAGGATGAGCAGAATTCTCCACCCTTCTAAAATAGAAAACAAAAAGGGTGGAATGTTTCCATCTTTCTAATTATAGTCTCCAAAAAAGTCCTTCAGTTACCCAGTTACCAAAAAAAAAAAAAGGAAAGAAATCACAGCATGTCAAAGCTGAGAGAGATAGCAAAGATCATCTCTAGGACAGTTTCGTCACTTTGCAGAAGCTAAAACAGGACCAGAGAGGTCTAGGGAGTTGGGCAAGGTCACAAAAACAGATGCAGGAAGGAATGGAAGCAAGAACTCAGATGTCCCTCCTCTGTGCTCAATAAGAAAAACAGACCAAAAAACCCCACCTCTGGCTCAAAATAACACATGCTCATGTAGCCAGAAATGGTGAACAACTTGGTCCATCTCCTGCTGGTTTTTGCAATAAGGCAGTTATGAACCCACGAGATGAACCTGTCACCGTGACACGTGTGCGCATCGACTGTGCCGAAAAGGCTCTTCTTCTAAATAAATGAATAAAAACGTGGATGCTAATTGAAGATTAGCATCATCTCCCATCAACGCTAATACGCTTTTTGGTTATTTGCAATTCCCTTTTGTAAATCTGAGGGAAACATCATTGCCCAAATTAGCTCTTTTCACTCAATAAAGGCCATATTAGCATTCTGAGGTTTGTGTTTGCTTACTGCTTATTTAGAGAGAGGTCAGATGAGAAGCTGGGCAGCCTGCACCTGATTTCCATTTCACTGAAGACAGGTCGGGGGAGGGGCTCCAAAGTCCCCAAGGGTCAGGCCAGGTGCTCCCTGGCTGTGGCTTGAATCAGGCTCACAGCTGAGCCAGAGCAGGCCCTCGGGGCACCAACTACCTCCACAGTGGCCTCTCCTGCCTGAAGGACTTGCCCAGATGCGTGAAACTGACTCAGGTGGCTCCCAGGTCTTCCTCTGCCTGGTACTGCCTGTCCTGTCCTCTCAGGACTGCATCCATATCAAGTGACAGCTCAAATGTCCCCTCCCCTCCTGCCCACCTTCATGCCCCAGTCACTATCTATCCCCCAGGTTCTTCCTTTCCAGTCCGTCTCAGCACTGAACTGAGAATGCTCTGACATGTTGGCCTGGCTCCCTTTGCTGGAACCGAAGCGCCCTGCTTGTTGGCCCCGCAGCCCCGGCGCTGACGTCATAGGGGCTTGGTATTTGGTGAAGGAATGAAGGCAGGAAGGAAAGTCTGAGCTGATAAGGCCTTGGGAGCATTGTCTAGGTAAGAGAAAGGGGAGGTGCCACTCCTGGTCCCAAATCTTTCCTCGCTCGAGTTCCCCTGGGAAGAGGAAATGATCGGGTTTTGCAACCAGACTTGCCTCCAGAGCTCAACTTCTTTCACAACTGGCAGGACAATTTTGGCCTTGATTAACCAACCAGAGCTTGTTTTCTAACCTGCAAATCGAGGGGAAGGACACGGGTCGGGTTAAGGGCCCGGCCCAGTGCTGGACCAAAGCACGGTGACCTTTCCCAGGATGCCACACCCCGAGTCACACTATGGAAAGCCTGGGCCCCAAAGCATACCCCCTGCCCTTGGCTCCAAGCACGGGGCGCGGGTCCCGAGCACCCCAGGGGAAGCAGCGGCGCACCGTGGCCCACCCCGCCGCGCTGCAGCCCTCGGCCACCCTGCCCAGCCCCTTCCGGTTCACGGTCCGTGGTTCCAACTCTCGCCGGGGTCACGGCTCCTGGAGCGGGGACGACCCGACCGGCCGCTCGCAGCCGCTTCGGGGCCCCGGACCCCGAAATTCATCATGGTCCCTCCCCTCCCCCCTCGCCCCCAGCCCAAGGCCCTGGCCCCGCCCCCGTTGTGTCAGGGGCCACTGCGCCGCCGCGTTCGCGGAGGAGCCCGGCGCGCGACCCCTGGGGGCCCAATCCGGCCGGCACGGAACAGGCGCGCGAGCCGCGCGCACCACGTGACCGAACGTGCTCCCGGCGCCCTCCGGGGGCGCGCAGAGGTCGGGCGGGCCGAGGGCCAATTTCCCATGGTCCCTTCATTTGCATACACAACGTTGGGAGGTTAGGGACACAATTAGACGTAATTTGGCCGTAATCACAAAGATACCATTACTGTATGTACGAGATACAAACGGTCATAATGCCTTGAATATTTGGGGTTTTGAAAAGCGCGCAGCATAGTCACCATAATTGTAAAAGTATTGCGGTTCATAGCTTTATATACTATCTGAGAAAGCTTGGGAGTCGTGCTCGCTTCGGCAGCACATATACTAAAATTGGAACGATACAGAGAAGATTAGCATGGCCCCTGCGCAAGGATGACACGCAAATTCGTGAAGCGTTCCATATTTTGTACCAGAGTTTATCTACCCCTGGGTGCAAACACTTTGAACCTACAGGTTTTATCTTTTCTTTCACACAAAGGAAACTGTAGTCCCAGCAGATAGAATGAGAGGAGGTGGGGCTTAGATTCTCCCTTTGCCCTGCTTTTTACGCCTGACCCCAGGCTTTGATCTTTCCCCGTGTTGCCCCTGCTTCCCCCTGCACTATCCTGAGTCCTACGGAACCTTACACTTAAGGACACGGATTTGCCAAAGTTAACCCGCTTCAGGTCCAAAACATAACAGGACCCTAGTGCTCAAATAGACCTGAGGGGACTGTAACAGGACACGTAACAAGCAAGACTCCTCATGCTGCCTCTGAATCTTAAAAACATAATAATGCCCACTCCTTCTTAAGCATCTACCATGTGCCAGGGGCTTCCAATAGCTCAGTATTCCTGACAGCCCTGCCTTGTGAGTACTATTGTCAGCATTTTACAGGAGACCCCGGGAGGTAAAGCACCCTGGCCATGATCATATAATTAGTAAGCGGCTGCCGCAAGGCCCGACGAGACCTTTGGAGGCACAGGCCCGGAAAAGATCGGGACCCTGCCCCCATGTAATGATTGCAAAAAGTACAGTCCTACTTAGTAAGATGGGAAGCGGGGGAAAGTCCAGTAAAGTTCAGATTTCCTGCGCTGACTTTATCAATGTGTTTTGAAATACAGGTTTCTTTCCGGGAGAAAAAATGTTGGTGCACATGCTTTGCTGGTGCCTGAGCACACTCGTAGTGGGCCCCCCGGTCTCTGCAGCCGCTGGGAGAGCAGCTGGTCTGCCTCCAGGGGCCGCACACCTCCCAGGCTCTGGGCTCCCCACAGTTCGGGCAGGCAGCAGACGCCGAGCCCCAGAGCCGCCCCAGGGCAGCGGAGGGTCCTCTCCCGGCGGGCGCTCGGAGCTGCCAAGCAGCGTTCCATCAGGGATCCATTTCTGTTCCCTTCAGTGAGGTGAAATACTTTCCAGGTAACAGCCGAGAATGGGGGTCTGTGGGACCTCTCGTCGCACCTTCTCCTCGGCTCACGGCCTCCAGTGCATGGAGTCGGAGGACAAGCTTTGGTTTTCCTTTCTTCCCCCAAACATGCCTGGTTCTTAGGAGGAACTTGGGTAATTGGATGAGCAGTTTTCAAAGTCTCCTTCTGAGATGCCAAACAAGGAAAGGACCAATGTTGGCGTGACTCTCTCTCCTTCTAAAGAAACTTGTTATTCCACTTGGTATGACCCCTGGTCTTGGAGCAGAGATGAGGAAAGACAGGCAAGTCTTTGTCCTGGAAAAGCCAGAGACCTGGCTGATTTTGCTGGCTCTGCTCAGTTCTGTGAAGTAGATACCCTCTCCCGCCTTCTGTTACAGATGGGGAAGCTGAGGCACAGAGAGATTCAACAACTTGCCCGATGTCACACAACTAGTAAATAACAGAGAAGGGGTTGAGACCCAGGAAATCTGCCTAGAGAGCTTGTGCTCTTAACCAAACACTACACCACCTTGGATGGTAGAGAGTGAGAGATAAAGCTGTTTAGAATGAATGGAAAGAGCATAGGGGTCCAGTTCTGCTTTTGCTGGTGTTCTGAATTCAAGGACAGGGGTTGTATTTTTGCAAAGGTTCAAGGTTATACTTTAGATCAGGGTAGCTGGAAATAAGTGGACAGGTATGTGCATGGCGAACTTGCAAAATGTGAAGGAGTGAAGGAGCACCCTCTTTGGGACACAGCTGGAAGAGGAAGAAAGTTTTCCTAGGCTGACAATCTCTTACCAGACACCTGCCCCCCAAAATAATCCTATTGATGAAGGGTCATCTGAGCAATAAACTTGTGCTTTATTAATATAAAGCAAATGAGCTCAATTGCCTCCCAATAGCTGTTGTCCAGAAGCACCTAGGGACTCCTCCCCTCGGACATTTCCAGCACCCAGAGGAACCAGAGTTGGAATCCCTTCCTTGAGACATCTGTTGAGCTACTGGGATGCACTGGGCCCTGTGTTGGAGATCACAAGGAAGAGCAAGACGTGGCCCCTGTTGCCAGGGTACTTACAGTCCTAGGGGAAACAGACACACACAACCAAGGAGAACTCAGAGACATGAACACCCCCTGAGTTTCATTAACCAAGTGCCACAGGAATGAAGAGGTTAGTCCCAGGAATCCAGAGGTCTTCCAGCTGTTTTTGTTTTGTTTGTTTTGCCAACAGGTTACCCAGATTTGCAGGATAGACGGAGTTGGGGATTTCCTCCCAGGGGGGTGAAAAGTCAAGCCATGTTTGCCTGCTTCTTTCTTAATCCCCAGACCCTGGACTCCAGAGCCGGACCTCCTGTGGGCACCTCCCGAAGCCAGGAGTGTGAAACCGAACACCTCGGCGGAACACCCAGGAGAATGTTCTGTGCTCCACAGCCCTCTAGCAATTCCCCAAACCCCACTTTTTCTCCCTAAGACAAGTCTCCCTAGTCTGGGGCCTTCGGACGTTGGCTGTCGTACCTAAATTGTGTCGCAAGGTGGCAACGTTGTGGCGAGAAATAGACTTTTTTAAAAATCCTGGGTTGTTTTTTTTCCCCAAAGCATATTTTCCCTATTAATGTTTCATTTAACTTAATTAGAATCTGGTAAACTAATTAAAGTAGCTACGAGCCCCGCAATCAGCAATAATTCGTATAATTATTGATAATTACATCCATACCAATCGTTCGGTTATTAACATTTGGGGGAGAACAAACCACTTCTGAAGGGACGAGGAACCCAGGAGGGGTTTGCGACAAAGCTTTCTGGGTCGGATCCGCCTACACCTCCAATCTGCAGGGATTCCGGCCCAGATGGGGCGCCCTTTCGGAAGAGCCCCAGCTGCCTACGGCCTTTCTCTCCTCCCCACCCCCCCCCTCCACTTCGGGGGAATTCAGAAAGGGAAGGTGAAAGGAATATTTGCTGGGCTCCTCTGTGTGGGCCGCGGCCACGGAACTTCCTGCCCGGGTAGTGCCTGTCATTCCCGTTTCCCCGAGAAGGAAGTGCGGCTTCCAAAGGCGTGGCCACGCCAGGGGGTAAAGGCTCGTGCTCTCCAAAACACCTGCTCTTGCGCGCATCCGCCCGCCGCTCGGCCCCCGCACGCCCTGAGCACGCAAGTCCCTTCCTCTCCGCCCTCAGTGTCACCGTTGGTGCAGTGGGGAACTGATCTGGTTCATTCCACCCTAGGAAACGCTCGCGCGTAGGGTGTTCCTGCTGGGACACCGCGCCTCCCGAGGTGACTTCTTCCCCGGGCGACACCTCACGGTTTAGCCGGAGCCCTCACCGCCGTTATTTCTGTCGTGTCCTCTCTGTGACTGGCCCTCGGAATATCCCGGGACTGGAGGAGGGCTGTGAGCCCCAGCCTCCGGGGACCCGCCTCCTGCCTCCGCCGCGTGCGCGCGCGGGCTCCTCGCCCGCGCCCCATCCCCTCGGCCCGCCGCGCGCCCCCTGCTCGCCGCCCCGCCCCGGGCCCTCCAGACGCCCCGCCACCAAGCTTCCTGGCCCGCGCAGCCCAGAGCTCCCAGGCCCGAGGGGCTGGCCCCGCGGCGGGGGACCGGAGAAGCGCACGGAGATCCCCGGGATGTCGGAGGGCCTCGACCAGCGGCCCTGCGCTCCGCTCCCCTCCAGAGCGCTTCCCCGCGCGCCGGGGTAGGAGGCCCGAGGGTTATTCTATGTGGGCCAAAACGGAGGCCTAGAGGAATAAAGGGAGCGACACAGCACCCTTGCGAGTCAGCCGAGGAGGTGAAACTGGAAGCCAGGACCGAATGAGCCCCAGTACCCGGCGCTTTCCCGCTCCGAGCACACTCTTCCCCCCCACCCCCCTGCCCGAAAAAGTGCGCTGCAGTTTCCACCCTTTATCTGTAGCCTAACCAGCAGGTGCGCTGTGGAAACTGAGGCCGATGAGAGGCCTGCAGCAAGCTGAGGCCTCATCAACCGCGGCCAGGAACCTACCCCTGTCACACACACCCTGACACCCCTCATCCCCCAGTGGAGACGACCTGATTCCAGCACAGGGGGGCCTCACCTGGCTCCTTGCGCTGCTCCATGTCCGCGCACTCTCGGACTGAAACGGACAGAACATTAAAAACTGCCAGCTCCCTCCGTGGGGGTAGAGGAGGGACAGGCAGGAGGACATCTGTGCACGAGCACGGAGTCACGCCCTTCCCTTCCAGGCGTGCCCAGCCGAGGTCCACCCGACGTACCTCGTCCCCCGCCCCTGGCCCACCCCAGCGCCCCCGGGCCAGGTGGGCGGTGCCCGTGCCTCCCGGCAATTCTGCTTGAACCTGGGCTTCCGGGCTGCGTCCCGTCCCTGAGAGAACGCTGGGGGTGACTTCCCGGTGGGGCAGGCGTGGAAGTGGGCACGACTAAACCCTCGGCCCTGGCGAGAGCTCCAGGGAAGAGTCGGAGACCATGGCACCCAGGAGGCCGCCGTAGTCCTCCTATCCCGGGCCCGAGAGGCTCTAGGGAGGGTCCCAAACGCGGGGAGAGGGTGGCCTAGGGGGCAAACTCGGTGTGCCTGAAGGACTGGGAGAGAGGTCGGGGCGCTCGCTGCTGCCCACCCGAGCCCGGTGATTCTCAGTCCGGGCGCCCCAGAACTCGCGCCTGAGGTCTTGGAGCCGCACCTGTTGCGCAGCCCTCAGCCCGCCGCCGCCCACGTTCCCCCCACCCCCGCACTCCCACCTCCACAGCCCCAGGAATTGACACGTTTCTTTTTTTATTAAAAACAAAACAAAAGTCACGGATACAGGGTGGTCTCCCCAAACAGGCTCAAGGTGGTCTCCATCTCGTGAGTCAGTTGTCGCCCTTTTTAAAGTGCTGTTACATCAAGAGGTTAACAAGAAGAAAAAAAAAAAAAGACAAAACAAAACCCAAAGGGGAATGCAAAATGGGACTGGAAGTAGGTCCAGGAGAAGGAAGCAAAATAATTTACAGCATAAATCAAACGGAACCCAATACTGAACCAAGAGAGACTCACAGTACATTTATATCCATTGCACATAGCCACTTTGTCATTAGGAACAAGTTTCAGAAGTGGACGGGACAGGGGAGCGCGGGGCCAGCCCCCGCGAAGTTGCTACAGTGTGTACACAACTGGGGATCCGAGGCTGTGTGGGGCGGGGGAGGCCCCCCCTTTCCCCTTTCTTACCCCCTTCGGTCCAGTTAACCCCATGAGGTCCGATGCCCTGGAGTTCAACCGTGGGGCGAGGTGGTATTTACACTTGGAAACGGAGAAGGGGCCCTGGGCCGAGGCGCCCTGGCGGAGGGCGGGCGGGCGGGAGGCTGTATGTACATCGGCCGTGTCCGAATGGCTTGTTCCTCGCTCTCGGCCGCCGCGGCCGCGGGTATTTACAAGAAGAGAGCAGCATGGCTTGAGGGCGCGTGGGCGCGGCCGGGCCGGCCCTAGGGCAAGAGCGGGGGCTTGAAGGAGCAGTTGCCAGTGCAATGGCGGGGCGTAAGCATCTTGCAGGAGAAGTGGTGCAGGGCGTCGTGGGCTTCTGGAAACACAGTCCGGCGGGCCAGGTTGAGCACCTCGCTTGCCTAGCCTCGCCCACGCGGCCTACCGGCTCCGTCCACTCGCCCCGCCCTTCCCCTGCCCTCCTGGGGTCTCACCCACCCCCTTCTGGCTCAGGGGTTCTCAAGTGAACGGATCAGAAAAAGGTAGGCGTGTAAGCGAGAGAACGTGGCGATTTAGAACCACTGCGCTGGTGCAGTCGCCCCATTATGCAGAAGAGGAAACTGAGGCACAGAAAGAGGGAAGTCAATCTGCCCACGGCCAGATTTGGATCCCACGGCAGATTTCCCAATGCCCAGGGCTCAAGGGGTTCTTTCTCCCTATTCTATCGTTCTAGAATTATTTCCCCATTAAAAAAAATCCCCATTTCCCTCCTCTTGGCTTCTGCTCTAGGTAGACCTGGTCTTGCCCTCTCACTGGCCCCTCCATTTACTCATCCATTCATTAGCTCATTCACCATCCACTCACTCATCCGCCATCATTCATTCACTCATTCATTCAGTGGCACAGCCAGAGCCTGGCAACAGTCCTATCTTTGTTCCCCAGCATCCGCACCTTTTAATTTCTGCTGGATGGCATAGCGCGCCTTCCGCTCTTGGTCGAGTTCGTTACACAGAGTGTCTGGAAGACATGGGGAGGGGCCGGTGAGGAAATGAGACCACCCTCCAGCCGGCCAGGGTCACAGCCCGGGCCTCACCCTCTCCCCAGCGCTCAGCCCCTCGAAGAAACAAATCCGGGAGACCGAGGGAGGGAGCATCAATGCCCCAAACTGCAGCCTGGAGGAGGGAGGAAAAGGCCTGGGATGGCGCTTAAAGGCAGACGGATCTAACCAAAATTAAAGCAAACTTAGGCATTACTTCCCAGGTAATTTTACGCCTCGATTTTTAATTTAGAAACCACGGAAATTGCCGCGATAAGAAGTTCAATCACTCCATGTAATGATGCCTGCAAGCCGTTTGCTGGGCTCGCTTGCCATTCTGAGGCTAATCAGAGTATACAAAGGATATTAAATAAAAAAAATAATTGTTAAATTACCTTCAATTTAAATCCAAATGACTGAGCCAACATTGCGGCTCCTGCCAGACGAGAGGCAGTTACGGCCCGTGCACGCGCTCACCTGATTCGCGTCTTACCTCTGACAATTTGCAGCTGTTGCACCATTTCTTCTCGATAAGCCAATTCCCTCTTCATTTGATCCTGAAAATTATCTGTGCAAATTGATTAAGTGGGGGCTGTGCGTCACAGCTCCCTCGGCCCCATTTCCCCACTCCCCATTCCCGCCCCTACCCCTTCCGTCTCGGGCCTGGCGGGAAGCCCCGGAAAAGCAGGGTTCGGCGGCTGGTGCGGGGCGCGCAGCCGCGGCTGCCTGGCCTGGGCTCCGGGCGCGCACGAAGAAGGCTCTCGTGCTGAGGTGGGGTGAGGTGGGGTGAGGTGGGGTGAGGTGGGTCGGGGTGGGGGTACCTTTGAGACTCTGAAATTCTCGCTCCAGTTTCTTGCGGAGCTCCATTTGCTCCAGGAGCAGTTTTTGCAATTCGTCTGTGAGGGGGCGAGAGTGGGAGGTAAAGGAGGGTGCGCGGGACTCAGGCGTCCTCCACCCCCCAACTACCAGCACCAAGGTTCTGCAGGTCCTGCCCTAGCCGGGAGACCCTGAGATGGGAGTTGTGGAGTGGTGGGGCCAGGAGGTAGAGGCCCTCTACACTGTTTTCCCGTTTGCTTCCAAAGGATTTGGGCGAGGAAACAGGTTGCCCAGAGGAATTAAATTCAGGATGGTGGAAGCCATATTGGGCTTCTAGGCCCTGGCTCCAGGCGCTAACCAGCATGGCATCTGCTTTAAGTTGTTCCCAACTCCCTAACCTTAGAGGCTGGCCCAGGACTTGATTTACCCCTCCAAATGACACACCTAATCCCTCTCTTCAATTATACGAGCTGGGTGAATCTGGTCAAAGACTTGGACCCCTGCCCTGAAAAATACCTGTACGCACAACAGTTTGTTCACAATTTCAGGGGGTCCCAGGCCCCCAAATCCATACTAAGAGCTCTCATATAAAGGACCAATGATGTTGAAGGTAATTGCATATCCTTTATAATCTGTGACTAGGAAGAGTGAAAGACCACCAATTCTTCTTCCCCTTCCCACACCACTTTCCAAGCCCATTCCTGGGCTGGTTGAGGGCAGTGTGGTGGATAGCAGGTGGATGTGGAAAGCCCCGTCCGTGCCCTCAGAACCAGCTACAGAGAGATGGCAGGGGCTGCCCTGACCATGGAGCTATTGGGATCTGGGTCCTCCCCCTGGGGAGTCTCTCTGAGAAATCCCACCCTGAGCAGGTGCTGAGGAAACACAAATGGGAGGTAGAGGAGCCAAGTGGGGTCAGAGGCTCCCGTCCTCTGTGTCTCAAGGCACGCACTCCCCCTGCAGGTGGAGCAGCAACCCCAGGATTCCATTCTGAAAGCAGGCTCTATCCTCACCCCATTTAGGGCACGCTGTGTGTGTGTGTGGGGGGGTGGTGGTGGTTATGTATTAATTCCAGGAAAAAATTAACCTCTCAGACATTCCTAAAATAAATGCCTTCTTGCAATCTTGCTTTTCAGAAAAAGTCCTGTTTTCCAGTGAGGTTGGGAGACCCAGATTGCCCTATCTGTCACATGCATCAAGTTCTGAGGATCATTACTCATTGCTCTCTTTCACTGGGCTTTTCAGATAGGCCAGCCTTGGGAATCCAAACTTCTAATGAACCTCTAGGGGTTTGGTTCACTTTCCCCACTCCCTCCCACCCCACACCTCTGTGCCAGCATCATGTGCCCAGAGGATTATCCTTTCCACTCAATGAAAATTGATTCCCCAAGAACCCTGTCTTCCCACACACTCCCCTACAAGAATGGTTCATCTCCCCCCCAGCAGGGTGTACCCCCATTTCACAGATTTAACCTCACCTCTGGCCAGGTTCTCGATATCTTTCTCCACTAGCTGAGTTCCTGTGATATCCAGGGTGAGCCCATCTTCACCTGGGATACAAGGGCAGGTAAGAGGGGTTCTATCCTGCGAGAGGCCTTGGGAGGGGAAGGGTGAGCTGCTGGGAACAGTGCTAAGTCAGGGAGCTGCTCCAGATCTTCTGCCTTTAGAAGAGACAGTTACAGGCATCGAGTACCACCTACCTTCCAAGCTATCATTTTAGGGGTGTGGCCCTCGTTTTACAAAGTGACCCACTGAAGAAGGACAATGGACTCAGGGAAGGTAGGCTATCTTAGGGCAGGACCTGCCCTCTGACTTGCTTCATGTGGGTGATGGTGTCTCTTATTTCCTTTTAGCACAGCCCCTTCTCTTACCCGGAAGAGCCCCGAACCCACTAAGGAGGAAAGCAACTCAGAAAACCTAGCCTGCACCTCTCGCGCGCGCTGTTTAAATATGTATCAGCCAGCCGCACGAGGGGCCCAGCAGCCGCTTACGCTCGATCGAAAACCCCTTTCGCAAGCAGAAACGGTGGGCACCTGGGCGACCTGGGCCCCAGCTTCCGGGTGGGGTTGGTGCGCGAGGGTCCTAGGGCTCACCTCGGTCTGTATTTGCGGGACTTGGTTGGGAGATACTCCTTTGGTCTGGATAGGATTTCCTCGTTTCCAAATCGTCGGCGGTCGAGTGATTGTCTTCCTTATCTGGTTCTTAAAGGCAATAAACCGAGTTTCAAGGAGAAGCAAAGAAACCGTGACCCCGATACGGCCAGGGCTGCCACGGTCGGGGCGCCCGAGCCCTAATTAAAAGCGTTGTGGCCGCCGCTGGTTCCCGGCTGTGCGCCTGGGCTTGCACCCTCAGGCTTTGGGCCGGGCACCCCCTCCCCCGCGCGCGGTCTGCTCATCTCGCGCTCCACGCCCCCTCCCCAGCCCCTCGGAAAAGAACAAGACGAGCAGCCGAGCCCACCAGGGACGAGCGACCTACATCGCGCGCAGATACTGGGGCACCGCGAGCGCGCGTGGCCGCCGGGTCTGCCTGCGCCGCTCCCGCCGAGAACGCGGCCCAGGCGGCGACCCGCGCAGGGTGGCGGCAGGGGAGACATCCTTTCGGGCTCGGCCTGCCCGGATTTCCGAGGCCCTCCGCCCCTCCTCTTCGAGCCACTGGGGCCTGGCGCTCGTGAAGGGCTCCCCCCGGTTGGGCCGCAGCTACCCGGCGCTTCAGGGGTGTCCAAGCGCGCAGCCGAGCGCCCGCACCCTCCGCCCTAACCCGGCCTGCCCAGCAGGACGTCGAGGCCAAAACAATTGCTGAATAAATGAGAGGACTTGAAAGAGGTGCCAGGCGCGATTTTAAAAAGGATTTAAGCCAGTGTGTGAGGTGCACGTGAGCGTGTGTATGTGTGGTGGACCGGGAGGTTTGTTAAGTGACCAAACGATGGAAGTTATTGGGAGTTCTTACTTAGCTTCCTTTTCCTTTATTTTTCTTTCCCTCTCTCGCTTTCTCTGCCTCTCTTTTTTTCTCCTCTCGTCTTCCCTCGCAGGACCCCCCCCCCGCCCGCCC